ATGGAATTTGAATTAAAAGATAATTTTGAATTTATAGATAAGATTCTAAAACTTGAATTTAAATTAAAAATAAAATTTATCTTTTCTTATCATGTTATTATACTTAATTCGGTTAATGATCATATGCAATCATGTTAGGAATTTTTGTTATTCTTTCTAATTATTTAAATACTACTTCGCCTCTAGCGGAAAAAAAAAAACTACTCCATATAACTATAAACCTCTTTCACATTTAAAATCCTATAAGTGTAGTTCTTTCAAACGTTGTAGCTAGATTTGAATAAAACGAAATTCTTTTAAAATAAATATAATATATAGGGTACACATCTATGTTTACCTAAGTAACAAAAAAGAGTATACAAAACCAAATAAAAGTTAGTTACATATATAATAAAGTAAACATACATGCTGGAGAAAGAAACGTCACAAAATCAGTCAATATTTAAAATAAAATAAAAAAGTTGTTTCTTTTTTTCTTCTTGAAGATATTTGTTTGAAGACTCAATTTGCATAAATGGACATCAAACAAATAACAAAACTTTGGCTATACAATTGCTATCATTAATTTCAATTTAGCACATTCAAGGAATTAAAGGATATATGCTGAAACCCCTTCATTTAGCTGTAGTCAAGCCAATATTACAAGAGTATAATATTTTTTTCGTTGAAGAATATTAATTTTGAATCATTAGATTATATAAAAGCTTTTTTTTTCCAAACTCAATAAGAAAGAAATTGGTTTCTATTTGATAGTTTCTATAGCGACTTTAAGTGTACCAAAGTGTATATATAAAGAAAAAAATTGGTATGACGTCAAATGTTTTTTTTTAAATGTAAACAAATTATTTTGAAAAAACTCTTTACTTCTTTTAATTCAAAGATAATAAAAAGATAAGATATTTTTGAACATTAGTAGAGAGTTCTAAAATTATTATAATAGAAGTTATATCATGAATAAACTCAAAAAACCGAAATCGTATGGAATATTTACCTAATATCCAGCCATATCTATTGTTTACTTTTTATAGCTAATATAAATAGATGATATACCGACAACACACGATTATACACATATTATATATGGATTATATATAAATTACACATCATTCAATTTTTTTAATTTAGGTGGTCGGGTGAACACCTATTTAGGCTTATTAAATAAAGCTAAAAGAAAAATACGAAATAATTTCAACCAAAGACTAAAATATAATTAAATTTCATATATAGACTTTTTATTAAAACTCATCCTTTTTTATGGTGAAATTAATTAAGTTTTGGTAACAAAAGAAATAATGACATAAAAATAAGATAAAAGAAAATAAATATAGAAAAAAAATGTTAGAAAGATCTAAAAACGAGAAATAAAAGTTGACAATAAATTTCTTCTTATGTTTCATCTTTGTTGAGTATAAAAAAATTGAAAGTTAATCTCATCGATTTCAAATATATATTTTTCAACTCAAATACATAGATTATAAGATAAGGATATCTTATAATTTTTTTTAATTTACATTATGTGTCATTTTTAAAAAATCACTATTACTAACAAACTGATATGATATATGAATTTAAATTAGAATGTAATTTGAGTAGTTTGCATTGAGGTTAAGCCAAGTATGGTGCCGAAAAATAAACTACTTGACAATTTTAAGACAATATATGCAATATTTTATAATAATAATAATCAACTAATTTAACATTTAATGATTTAAAAAACAAAATTTTTGTATATATAGGGTATTAAAAATTCAAATTCTGGGGCTAGAGATATTGATAAGCTTAAAGTGGAGTCATACTGAAATAAATCCGGCCAAAGAATCATTTAAATTTTTAGATAGCCGATTAAAGTAAATTTTAAA